CTATGCCAAAGCCTTTGACTGTGTGGATCACAAAAAAACTGGAAAATTCTAAAAGAGGTGGGAATACCAAACCACCTGACCTGCCTCTTGAGAAACCTATATGCAGGTCAGGAAGCAACAGTTAGAACTGGACATGGAACAACAGACCGGTTCCAAATAGAAAAAGGAGTACGTCAAGGCTGTATATTGTAACCCTGCTTATTTAACTTATATGCAGAGTACATCATGAGAAATGTTGGGCTGGAAGAAGCACAAGCTGGAATCAAGATTGCCGGGGGAAATATCAATAACCTCAGATATGCAAATAACACCACCCTTATGGCAGAAAGTGAAGAACTAAATAGCCTCTTGATGAAAGTGAAAGAGGAGAGTGGGAAAGTTGGCTTAAAGCTCAACATTCAGAAAACGAAGATGGCATCTGGTCCCACCACTTCATGGCAAATAGATGGCGAGACAGTGGAAACAGTGTCAGACTTTATTTCTGGGGCTCCAAAATCACTGCAGATGGTGACTGAAGTCATGAAATTAAAAGATGCTTACTCCTTGGAAGGAAAGTTATGACCAACTTAGACAGCATATTAAAAAGCAGAGACACTACTTTGCCAACAAAGGTCCATCTAGTCAAGGCTATGGTTTTTCCAGTAGTCATGTATGGATGTGAGAATTGGACTATATATAAAGAAAGCTGAGCGCCAAAGAATTGATGCTTTTGAACTGTGGTGTTGGAGAAGACTCTTGAGAGTCCCTTGGACTGCAAGGAGATCCAACCAGTCCTTCCTAAAGGAGATCTGTCCTTGGTGTTCATCGGAAGGACTGATATTGAAGCTGAAACTCCAATACTTTGGCCCCCTGATGCAAAGAGCTGACTCACTGGAAAAGACTCTGATGCTGGGAAAGATTGAGGGCAGGAAGAGAAGGGGACGACAGAGGATGAGATGGTTGGATGGCATCACAGACTCAATGGACATGGGTTTGGGTGAACTCCAGGAGTTGGTGACGGACAGTGAGGCCTGGCGTGCTGCAGTCCATGGGGTCACAGAGAGTCAGACACAACTAAGCAACTGAACTGAACTGAACATACATGACAAATCCATAGATAACATCATACTCAACAGTGAAAAGATAAAAGTATTTCCTCTAAGATCAGGAACAAGACAAGGTTGCCCCTACTCTTGCCACATTAAACATGGTTTTGGAATTTCTACCAGAGAAGAGAAAGCAATAAAAGGAGTACAAATTGGAAAAGGAGAAGTAAAACTTCTGTTGTTTGCAGAGGACATGATACTATGCACAGAAAATCCTAAATATGCTAGCAGAAATCTACCAGAACTCATCAATGAACTCAGTAAAGCTGGAGGATACAGAATCAATACCAGAAAAATCTCTTGCATTCCCACATATTAACAATAAAAGATCAGAAATATTAAGAAAACAATCACATTTCCTGCTGTAGCAGAAGAATAAAATACCTAGGAATAAACCTACTCAATGAGGCAAAAGTCCTGTACTCCAAAAACTATAAGTTGTTGATGAAAGAAACTGAAGATGACACAAACCAATGGAAAGATATGCTATGTTCTTGGTTTGAAATAATCAGTATTCTAGAAATTAGTACACTACCAAAGGCAATACACAGATTTAATGAAATTCCTAGCAAATTATCAATGGCATTTTTGGCAGAACTAGAACAAGTTTTTTTTTTCCTTAATCTGTACGGAAACTCAAAAGACCCTGAATACCCAAAGAAATCTTGAGAAAGAAAAATGGAGATGGACGAATCAGGTTCCCTGGCTTCAGATCATATTACAAAGCTATAGTCATCAAAGCAGTGTGGTACTGGTGCAAAAACAGAAATATAAATCAATAGAATGGGAGAGAAAGCCCAGAAATAAACCCACACACCTATGGCCATTTAGTCTAAGACGAGAGAGGCAGGAATATACAATGGAGAAAAGACAGTCTCTTCAATAAGTGGTGCTGGGAAAACTGGACAGTTACATGTAAAAAATGGTTTAAAGACCTATATGTAAAACCAGATACTATAAAGCTCCTAGAGGAAAACATAGGCAGATTACTCCTTGAACTAAACCACAGAAATATCTTTTTGGATCCATCTCTCAGAGTGATGAAGGTAAAGACAAAAATAAACAAATGGGACCTAATTCAGCTTAAAAGCTTTTGCTGACAAAGGTCTGAATAGCCAAAGCTATGGTTTTTCCAGTAGTACTGTATGAATGTTAGAGTTCGGCCATCAAGAAGGCTGAGTGCCAAAGAATTGATACTTTCAAATTGTGGTGCTGGAGAAGCCTCTCGAGAGTCCCTTGGAGTGCAGGGAGATCAAATTGGTCAATCCTAAAAGAAATCAACCCTGAATATTCAATGGAAGGACTGATCCTGAAATTGAAGCTCCAATACTTTGGCCACCTGGATGCAAAGAGCCAACTCATTGGGAAAGACTTTGATCTTGGAAAACATTGAAGGCAGGAGGAGAAGGGGATGGCAAAAGATGAGATGCTTGGATAGCATCACCAACTCAACGAACATAAGTTTGAGCAAACTCTGGGAGATAATAAAGGACAGGGAAGCCTGGTGTGCTGCAGTCCATGGGGTCACAAAGGGGTGGACATGACTTAGTGACTGAATAACAACAACACAGCAAAAGAAATCATTTTTAAAAAAGTGAAAAGAGAACATAGAGGTTGGGACAATATATTTGCAAATGATGTGACCAGTAAGAGATTAATTTCCAAAATATACAATACACACAGCTTATACAATTTAATATACAAAAACCAAATGACCCAATCATTAAATGGGCAAAAGATATAATGCACATTTCTCCAAAGATGTACAGATGGCCAAAAAGTACATGAAAATGTGCTCAATATCACTAGTTATTAGAGAAGTGCAAATCAAAACTTCAATGAACTATCACCTCACATGGGTCAGTATGGCCATCATCAAAACATCTACAATAAATGCTGGAGAGGGTGTGGAGAAAAGGGAACCCTCCTACACTGTCGGTAGGAATGTAAATTGATACAGCCACTACGAAAAACAAAATGGTAGTTTCTTTAAAAACCAAAATTACAGCTACTGGGACTTCCCTGGCAGTCCACTGCAGCAGGCACAGGTTTGATTCCTTTTGGGGGAACTGGGATCCTGCATGCCATGGGGTGGGTGTGGGTGTGTGTGTGTGTAAGTAATTAATTTAGAAAAGAGAGTTACCATATAATCTGCTATCCCACTCCTGGGCATATATCTGGAGAAAACCATAATTTGAAAAGATACATGTGCCCCATTATTCATTGCAGCACTATTTACAATAGCCAAGACATGGAAACAAGTGTCCATGAACAGATTAATGGATAAGGAAGATATGGTATATATACATGATAGAATATTAGTCATAAAAAAATGAAATAATGCCATTTGCAGCAACATGCATGGACCTAGAGATTATTATACTAAGTGGAGTAAGTCAGAAAAACAAATACTATATAATATCACTTATATGTGGGCTGTAAAATATCACACAAAATGAACCTATTTACAAAACAGAAATAGACTCACAGACCTAGAAAACAAACTATGGTTACCAAAAGCAAGGGGAGGGATAAATTAAGAGTTTGAATTAAAATATACTCACTACTATATATAAAATAGATAACCTAAAGGGACCTACTGTATAGCACAGATAATTATACTCAATATCTGTAATAATTTGCAATTGAAGAGAATGGGAAAAAAAATACACACATACACATATATGTATTACTTTGCTATACACCTCAAACTAGCACATTATCATAAATCAACATTTCAGTTTAAAAAATTGTTTAAAAAAGAATGTCAACATCACTAATGATCTGAGAAATGCAAGTCAAAACCACAAAGTTATTATCTCAAACATGTCAGAATGGCTGTTATCAAAAATGCAAAAAATGACAAGTGTTATTAGCAAGGATGTGGAGAACAGGGAACACTTGTACACTGTTGGTGGGAATGTAAATTCGTGCAGCCACTATTAAAAACAGTATTGAGGTTTCTCAAAAAATTAAAAATAGAACTACTATGTGATACAGCAATTCCACTTCTGGGTATTTATCTGAAGAAAATAAAAACACTAGCTCAAACAGATAAATGTATCCCCAAATGCACTGCAACATTATTTCCAATATCTAAAATATGGAAGCAACCTAAGTGTCCAGCAACAGTTGTGTGGATAAAGAAAAGGTGAAAAAAATATATATATACATATAATGGAATATTATCCAGTTATAAAAAAGATTGAAATCTTGCCATTTGTGATAACATGATGGACCTTGAGGGCATTATGCCAAGTGAGATATGCCAGACAAATACTGCATGATCTCTCTTAAACAATGAATCTAACAAAACAACAACAACTAAAAACCAAAAAACTGACCTCATAGAGACTGAATTGATGGTTCCAGTGGTAGTAGAATGGGGGAGGTGACATAAATAGATGAAAGGGTAAAAAAGGTAAAAAATTAAAAAAAAAAAATTTTTAAGAAACTTAGTCTATCAAGTGGTAGGAAGTGAACCACAAAGACAAATTTTGAAATGCAGTGATATGCAGATTAAATACTATCGGAACTGAGAGGGGATAGCATCTGCTAGAGGACTGGTAAGGCTTCAGGAAGACACAGTATCTGGATAATCACTGTGGACCTTCCAAGAGGTGGAAGAACATGTTTTAGGGTGTTTTATAGGAAATGGGAAGATGTTCATGCTGTTAAAAATATACATCCAATTATTTCCAGCTGATTCAAGACAATGATTCCAATGTACAGCTCTTAACAGATTCTACTGGCAAAAAAACCTAAGTTTAGCATGGCTGAGAGTTAGCTATTTCCCCACAACCTTGTTTAAAAGGATACAATGAAAGTAACTCTTAGATCAAATTCTGCCTAGAACATGTACTTGTTAAGCGTTCTTACAACTTCCGATGCAGCAGCCACTGAAGAACAACAGCCATGGTTCTGTGCTACCAAATGGCTGTGGGCCTCAACAAGGGCCGCGAGGTGACCGCGAACGTGGGCAAGCTGAGGCACAGCCGCCGCTGTGGGAGCCTCAGCAAACACACCACGTTCATGCGGGACGTGATCTGGGAGGTGTGCGGCTTCACCCCTTATGAGCACCAGGCCATGGAGCTGCTCAAGGTCTCCAAGGACACGTGGGCCCTCAAGTTCATCAAGTAAAGGGTGGGGACACACGTCCGCACCAAGAGGGAGAGAGAGGAGCTGAGCAACGTCTGGTCACCAGGAGGAAAGGGGCAGTCAGGAAGGACCGAGCCCTTCCCCTCTGTGCACAATAAATTATCCCAGAAAAAAAAAAGAAACACATTATTACAAGCAAGCACAAAACTGCCCATACAACTTGTTTTGTCAGGCTGATAAAGTCCTAGCCCATTACCAGTTTGAGTGATTTGATCACACTGTATGACAGGTTCACTCATACTAGATATGATAATATTCCTTTAAACAGACAGTTCAGTTCAGACACTCAGTCGTGTCCGATTCTTTGCGACCCCATGGACTGCAGCACGCCAGGCCTCCCTGTCCATCACCAACTCCCAGAGTTCACCCAAACTCATATCCATTGAGTTGGTGATGCCATCCAACCATCTCATCCTCCATCATTCCCTTCTCCTCCTGCCCTCAAGCTTTCCCACCATCAGGGTCTTTTCAAATGAGTCAGCTCTTCTCATCAGGTGGCCAAAGTACTAGAGTTTCAGCTTCAACATCAGTCCTTCCAGTGAAATTCAGGACTGATTTCCTTTAGGATGGACTGGTTGGATCTCCTTGCAGTCCAAGGGACTCTCAAGAGTCTTCTTCAACACCACAGTTCAAAAGCACCAATTCTTTGGCGCTCAGCTTTCTTTATAGTCCAACTCTTATATCCTTATGTGACTACTGGAAAAACCATAGCCTTGACTAGACAGACCTTTGCTGGCAAAGTAATGTCCTGCTTTTTAATATGCTATCTAGGTTGGTCATACTTTCCTTCCAAGGAGTAAGCGTCTTTTAATTTCATGGCTGCAATCACCATCTGCAGTGATTTTGGAGCCCAGAAAAATAAAGTCAGCCACTGTTCCCACTGTCTCCCCATCTATTTGCCATGAAGTGATGGGACCAGATGCCATGATGTTAGTTTTCTGAATGTTGAGCTTTAAGCCAACTTTTCCACTCTCCTCTTTCACTTTCATCAAGAGGCTGTTTAGTTCTTCTTCACTTTCTGCCATAAGGGTGGTGTCATCTGCATATCTGTGGTTATTGATATTTCTCCCGGCAATCTTGATTCCAGCTTGTACTTCTTCCAGCCCAGAGTTTCTCATGGTGTACTCTGCATATAAGTTAAATAAGCAGGGTGACAGTACACAACCTTGACATACTCCTTTTCCTATTTGGAATCGGTCTGTTGTTCCATGTCCAGTTCTAACTGTTGCTTCCTGACCCACATACAAGTTTCTCAAGAGGCAGGTCAGGTGGTCTGATATTCCCACCTCTTTCAGAATTTTCCACAGTTTATTGTGATCCACACAGTCAAAGGATTTGGCATAGTCAATAAAGTAGAAATAGATGTTTTTCTGGAACTCTCTTGCTTTTTCAATGATCCAGTGGATGTTGACAATTTGATCTCTGGTTCCTCTGCCTTTTCTAAAACCAGCTTGAACATTTGGAAGTTCACGGTTCTCATATTGCTTGAAACCTGGCTTGGAGAATTCTGAGCATTACTTTACTAGCATGTGAGATGAGTGCAATTGTGCAGTGGTTTGAGCATTCTTTGGTATTGCTCTTCTTTGGGATTGGAATGAAAATTGACATTTTCCAGTCCTGTGGCCACTGCTGAGTTTTCCAAATTTGCTGACATATTGAGTGCAGCACTTTCACAGCATCATCTTTTAGGATTTTGAAATAGCTCAACGGGAATTCCATTCTATCACTCCACTAGCTTTGTTCGTAGTGATGCTTTCTAAGGCCCACTTGACTTCACATTCCAGGATGTCTGGCCCTAGGTGAGTGATCACAGCATTGTGATTATCTGGGTCATGAAGATCTTTTTTTTTTTTACAGTTCTTCTGTGTATTCTTGCCACCTCTTCTTCATATCTTCTGCTTCTGTTAGGTCCATACCATTTCTGTCCTTTATTGAGCCCATCTTTGCATGAAATGTTCCCTTGGTATCTCTAATTTTCTTGAAAAGATCTCTAGTCTTTCCCATTCTATTGTTTTCCTCTATTTCTTTGCACTGATCACTGAGGAAGGTTTTCTTATTTCTCCTTGCTATTTTTTGGAACTCTGCATTCAGATGCTTATATCTTTCCTTTTCTCCTTTGCTTTTTGCTTCTGTTCTTTTCACAGCTATTTGTAAGCCCTCCTCAGACAGCCATTATACCTTTTTGCATTTCTTTTTCTTGGGGATGGTCTTGATCCCTGTCTCCTTTACAATGTCACGAACCTCCGTCCATAGTTCATCAGGCACTCTATCAGATCTAGTCTGTTAAATCTATTTCTCACTTTCACTGTATAATCGTAAGGGATTTGATTTAGGTCATACCTGAATGGTCGTGGTTTTCCCCCACTTTCTTCAATTTAAGTCTGAATTTGGCAGTAAGGAGTTCATGATCTGAGTCACAGCCAGCTCCTGGTCTTGGTTTTGTTGACCGTATAGAGCTGCTCCATTTTTAGTTGCAAAGAATATAATCAATCTGATTTTGCTGTTGGCCATCTGGTGATATCCATGTGTAGAATCTTCTCTTGTGTTGTTCAGACAAGAAACAACCAAAACCATGGTTAGTCCCAAAGTCTGGCCATGTCTGACAAACCATGGTTAGACCCAAAGTCTGGCTGTGGAACCACTGGGGGTTGCTATGGCAGTGCCCTGAAGAGCCAGACCTGAGATGCCCTGGGCTGAAGAATGTAGTAAAGGAGGCAGAAGACTTCCATGCTGACAACTATAAAACACTAATAAAGGAAATTGAAAGTGAAGTCGCCCAGTCGTGTCCAACTCTTTGCAACCCCATGGACTGTAGCCTACCAGGCTCCTCTGTCCATGGAATTTTCCAGGCAAGAGTACTGGAGTGGGTTGCCATTTCCTTCTCCAGGGGATCTTCCTGACCCAGGGATTAAACCCGGGTCTTCTACATTGCAGGCAGATGTTTTACCATCTGAACCACCAGGGGAACCCTGAAGAAATTGAAGATGATTCAAAAAAAATGGAGAGAGCCCATGCTCTTGGACTGGAAGAGATAATATTGTGAAAATGGTCATACTACCCAAAGAATCCCTATCAAATTACCCATGACATGTTTCACACAAATAAAATAATCCTAAACTTTCTATGGAACTATAAAGGACCAAGAATTGCCAAAGCAAATCTGAAAAAAAAAAAAACCCACAGCAGGAGGCATAACCCTGTGTCAGATTTCAGACAATATCACAAAGTTACAGTAATCAAAACAATGTAGCATTGGCACAAAAATTGATCAATGGAACAGAACAGAGAGCAGGGAAATAAACCCACATACCTAAAGGTACTTAATCTTTGACAAAGGAGGCAAGAATATACAATGAAAAAATCTCTTCAGCAAGTGGTGTTGGGAAAGCTGGACAGGTACATGTACATCAGTGAAATTAGAATGCCCTCACCCCATACACAAAAATAAAGTCAAAATGGCTTAAAGACTTAAATGTAACACATGACACTATAAAATTCCTAGAAGAGAACATAGGCAAAATATTTCTGACATAAATTGTAGCAATATTTTCTTTAGGTCAGTCTCCCAAGGCAATAGAAATAAAAGCAAAAATAAACAAATGGGACCTAATCGAACTTACAAGTTTTATACATCAAATTTGTTTATAAATCATAAACAAAAAGACAACCTACAAAACAGGGGAGAAAATATTTGCAAGTGACATAACTGAAAAGGACTTACTTTCCAAAATATATAAACAGTGCACACAATTCAACAATAATAGAGACTACCCAAGTAAAAAATGGACTTAAGACCTAAGTAGACATTTCTCCAAAAAAGAAATACAGGTGGACAATAGCACGAAAAGATGTTCGACTTCACTAACTATTAGAGAAATGCAAACCAAAACTATAGTGAATTACCACTTCATATCAGTCAGAATGGACAGCATTGAAAAAAGTCTACAAGTAACGAATACTGGAGAAAAGGTATCTTCCTACACTGTTGGTGAGAATGTAAACTGGTACAGCCACTACAGAAAACAGTGTGGAGCTTCCTCAGTAAACTAAAAATAGAATTACCATATGATCTAGTAATCCCACTCCTGGACATATATCCAGACAAAACTATAATATGAAAATATACATGTACCCCTCTGTTCATAGCAGCACTACTCACAATAGCCAACACGTGGACACAATCTAAACATTCATCAACAGGTGAATGTATGAAGATGTGGTACATATGTACAATGGAATACCACCTAAGCCATAAAAAAGAACAAAATAATGCCATTTGTAGCAACATGGATGGAACTAGATATTATACTAAGTGAGGTAAATTTTTAAAAAAGACAAATACCACATGATATCACTGATATATGGAATCTAAAATATGGCCCAAATGCACCTACCCACAAAACAGAAACAGATCCACAGACATAGAAAGCAGACTTATGGTTGCCAAGGGCAGTGGGGTAGGAGAGGGATGGAAGGCAAATTTGGGGTTAGCAAATGCAAAGTATCATATTAATATATAGAATGGATAAACAAAGTCCTACTATATAGCACAGAAAACTGATGTATTCAATATCTGTGATAAATCACAATGCAGTATCATATAAAGAAGAGTGTGTATATATATGTGGCTGAATCACTTTGCTTTACAGCAGAAATTAACACAACACTGGAAGTCAACTGTATTTCTATTTAAAAAAAACCCATCTGATATTTGCAAAAAAGAAAAAAGACAAGTCACAAACTGCTACAAAACAATTTCAGGGCCTACATCTGATACAGGGCTTCTATCCAGAGTATATAAAGTACTTTCAAAATTTTTTTTTAAGTCTAATTTTTAAAAAATATATCTTTAATTGAAGGATAATTGCTTTACAATATTGTATTGGTTTCTTCAATACAACATGAATCAGACATAGCTATACGTATGTACCCTCCCTCCCAAACATCCTTCCCACCTCCCATCCCATCCCACCCCTCTAGGT